ATATATATATATATATATATATAAAACCTATGGGTATTTTTGCGGATAAAAACCGTCAGATACGTTAAAGAAACCTCCAAAACTGTAAAATTGATTGCCGCAAAAAAAATTTGGACAAAACGAGAAATAAGCCAATCAGGATGCAATATTTGAAAAAAATGTTCTTCCAATTATCATCTAGGTACCAATCATGAAACTTTTTTCCTAGGATGAAAAGTGAAGTGAAAAATTTCTCTATTAACTTCAATAGTTAAAATTTCCACTTTTCACTTTCCATCCTAAGAATAAAGTTTTATGATTGATATCCTGATTTTCTGCGATATGAAATTTTTTAATTTAAATGGAATTAGGATAATAAATGACTAAAACATATTAAATGTTATTTTTAACTAATTTCAAACTTTAATAATTAAGGGCGACTTTAACCAAATTCCCATTAACTTGATCAGTGATTAATTCAATCAGGAGCTAATTTAAAACAAAATTTTTAACTATATAATTCGTTATTTCCAATTTAATCGTTTTTTCAAGTATTAATAAAAACTTAATTCTATCTACGTAAATAAAATAGTATGTACAACTATTATTTGATAAGTTAATCGACATTTGATCAAAGTTATCCTAAACACACATTCATCTATAATAATTCTTAATATGGATAGAATAAACTTTTTGTTTAATGAAAAGTAAGATTAAATTAAGAATAACGAATTATATATAGCTACAGATCTTACAGCAAAACTGCTGATTGAATCAGTCTCTGATTAAATTAATTGGAGTCTGGTCAAAGTCACCCTAAGACCATATCTTTCTCCACAGTAATTGTAATGGAAGGATGCCATTTCTTCTTTGTAATGTCGGATGAAAAACATCGAAGTCTACTTTTTTTAATTCTTCTAAATAATTCTCCACGCAAACTGTCGGTAGAAATATCGCGTTAAGATTTTTCCCAGCCTTTCTAAGTGATGTCGCCTAAAATAAAGAAAATAATGTCGTATAAATCTTTCCTGACTTTTTCATCTAAATGCAAAAACATAAAAATTGTCAGATATATGACTGCGTCATAGACGCAGATTGACTTGATGTCAATTCCACATATATGGAATTAAGTTATTTATTGTACCATTTTCAGATGCTGCTTGGCGCAAGATGCAATTTCAAGTATAGCGTCTTTAAATCCAGCATTTGATTGTCTCTGAAAGATAGATTCAGAGGAGATACTGTATTTTAGCAAAATATCCTGTGGCAATATTATAACTCGTTTTCGGGCATTATATGGCACAGAACGTATCAAGGTGACTAAACCATGTGCTTTGCCGAAGTGGCTAGCTGCATGATCAGCATTGACGCTTGCTATATTCTGTGCCTCTAGCAGCAAATAATAAATTGATGATGTAGTATAATCACAATATCTTTCGAGCGATTCCAAATCCACAAACATTGAGCTATTTAGCTTGTTCAAACGAGCGTCAATCAAGCGCTTGAAATAGCGTTTAGATAGTTTGTGTTGTTGAAGGATCTGTAAATGCAAAAGATCTCTGATTTCCAACAATAGTCATACGAATGTATCTTGGAACAATGAGATCTATTTATGTTACCCTGTGTAACTCCAATGCCACGGGACTCTTCGGAGGATTACCATTATAAATTCTGTTCAGAGCATCTGTCCAAAATTGTAATCGCATAGTACCTATCTTACTGTCACTCACTTGATCCTCCACTTGTGCTACTTCGACATTAAACGCACGTACAGCAAAAGCCGTCGATTTAATACTACGAGGAAGTAATAGCGTACATAAAAAGTTCTCATAATCGTTCTTCCTAAAAACACAATGGATAAATATAACTTTGAGTAGATTTTGTTAGAACTTTTGCTGATTTTGTTATATACAAACTTGCACAATTATTTTAATGTATCTTACAAGAAATTTTATTTACTTAGTTTTATTTCAAAGAAACACAACTAGTATATCCATTTCCTCAGAAATTTGAAATTTTGAAAAATTTATTTAAATATGTTAAGTAAATATAATACTATAATATATGGAATTTATATACTAATATTATACATTAGAATAATATTATTACATTTATTACATAAACATGAATGTCCAATTCTTGTTTATTTTATTTGTGCAGCTTCAATTTAACAAAGCAAAGACAAGTACCTAACTAGCTGTAAACAATACTCGGTCGGAGTTTGTTTTTGTCTTGCACTAGTCGTATTCATACGAATTATACATCGCAGCTTTGTTCGCACATTTTTCTCAATAACTGTTAATTTATTCATTTTAAAAAAAAATAAAAATAAAAATTTGTTTTATTGAATCTAATAAAAGTGACCACACATAATTATCTCAACGGAAATGCTAACGACATTGAGTATATTAAATTTGTCTATCGTAAAATCATATTTTAATATTTTTTTTATTATAATTCGGAACATACAATCTCGGAGTATACAACCTATAAACTAATATATGATGTTTAAAACAATCAAGATCGCCAAAGTATTTTTTTATAAGTTCCTAGATCCTGATGTCATAAATTAAACTAGGACGTATCGAATGACTTTAAATGTTGGCGACCCTACCGAATCGACTTTAGCCAATTTCACGCTTTATTTACAGAAGTAAATATGGCAAATTTGACAAAGTTATTAGGATTGGATAAATTCGTGACGTTATTTCGTACAATACGCGACCATGGTGGTATCATCGGTTCCTTCAAAACATTATACAGGTTATTAAGCAATTATACATTATATTAGTAATACAGCGAATGTTCAAAATACTATCATTTTGATTAGTATTGTGTAACTCCGTTCTGTATTTGACTTTGAGCTCTGCAGCTTGTTCAAATTTTACTAATGTAACAAAATAAAAATAAAATATTTTGCAATATAAATGCAATGTGTCAACGTAATATCCTTACAATTAATATAGTGAATATAAATTCATTTCAGAGTGGATGAATTGAAGAGTGGAACCTTAGTCGGAGAAGACAAATATGGCAATCGATACTATGAGAATAATATACACTTTATAGGTCAGTTAAGTACATTAATATGTACACTAATATGTATACTATAAGTATAAATGTCAGATTAATATGAGTATAAATATCTATATGTATATATCATTTTATTAAGATACTTTTCAGCAAGACACTGACTGTATTTAACTGCTCAAGCAACATAAGTTTCATCGCTCATTATGTATCATATAAAGAAGATAGAATAAAATTTATATGGCATGAGCATTTAAGACATTGAAAGCCAACTTAGTAAATTATTATATTCTTGTTTACTAATATTAAACAAAGATGAAATAATTCACTGTATTATACTGTTAGTGCTTTCCAGCAAGAGATTATGATCATTTTAATATTAGTAAATAACAAGGATATAATGATTCATTGTTACATTATTATTTGTCTTTTGCTAGAAAGCATTCTTAATCTTATCTTGAAAGTATATAACAGTGTAAAATACAGTTAATATCATGTTTATTTAATATTCTTTACAGGTCGTAACAGATGGGTGATATATGCAGATAAAGTTGGACTGAATTATGATGGTTCACAAGTCCCACCTGAATGGTTTGGTTGGTTGCATTACAAAACAGATTTGCCACCACACGAAGATCCATCTCGACCAAAATATAAATGGATGATGGATCATCAACAAAATATGAGTGGCACAGATCAAGCTTATATGCCTTACAGCACCACAAGACCGAAGATTGAACCTTGGCGGCCATCACAGTGATCTTTGTTAGAACAGCAGTGAGAGTAAAGAGTAAAGTAGCTAGTTCATAATTATAGTTACATAAAATATTATTCGATGTAAATAAAATTACTATCAAGAGATAAAAAGATTGTAGATATTTAAAGAGATAGTTTTTATTCGTCCTTTTTTCAGTTTAATAATGCAGTAATAAAATAATTTAGTAATCAAACAATAACATTTAATTAAGTTCTAATTATAATGCATATAAGGAATAATAAATGAAAGCATCTATTTTTATACATTCCTTTTAAATATTTATTTCGATTTTATTGGACTAGGCCAATATTGGACTATATCGATTTCGTTTGTTTTGCTGGCTTCATTTCTTTTATATGATTCATGCATTGTTTCAAGTAATTGAGCCGTTTTTTTATATTGTCCTGTACACTGAAGTTTTCATAAGAAAGAGTTATGATTTCGTATCCTCTGACTTTTAATAATTGCGTATATAAATACTGCGATCCTATGAGATCATTCTGTCCTATGCAATAATCGTGATAATCGTGCATCATTATTGCTATTCTGAAAGTTATATATTAAGTCGTTATTAATTTATTATTAATTTAAATATTAAATATTAAATATTATTAATTATATTTAAATATTAAAATTTTATAATTTTTTATCACTTAAAAATGAATAGAATATCTTAAAATTTTGACTAAATTATAGAATAATTTTCACTAAAACAATATTAAAGTACAGCTCTTTATTAATAACACGTGCCATACCTTCGTACATTATTTGATTGTTCATTCCAATCTTCCACTTTCATAAACTTGTGGTCACTATCTGTGCGATATTCAGCATCTAAAAATACTCTTTTATTTAACAAAATTGCATTTACTTACTTCAAATTTTACTTTGTTAAAAAAAAAATGAATTAATATTAGTATATAATTTCGCCGAGTTTATTTAGATATCAACAAACTAATGATTTATTTATGAATAAATGAAACAATATTTAACATAATATTTTTGTTAACACATTTACAATTTTGAAATCTCAATCAAATTCTAAGAAATTATACTGGCATTAATTTTTGGTTGAAAAAACTTACCTAATAAAAAGCCCATGTTTGTATCTAAATTTATTTTAAAATAAGACGAAGATGATAACATTTCTGTTAATGTTTCAAATAACACGTTTGTGTACTTTTGCTTTTCCTTTGATTTAATTATAGATATATTATTAAATTCTGAATTTTTCTTTAAAAAAGGTCCTGTAATTTAAAACAATATAAATATCAATGAATTATTGAAAATATATAATATTAATATATTAAAATATGTACAGATCCGAATGTATACCTTCATAATCCTTCAATACAAACTGTGCAACAGCGTTGATATTTAATAATTTTAATTTCTTTGCTATATTTAACTGATTAAAGGCTATAAAAGTCACAAGAAATTAATGTTATTGATACAATGTAAAATAGATACAAAATAAATTTTAGATACATTATTTAAGTAGATACAAACCGTTTTTTTCCATTAATACAGGGTCCAGTAGGATTTGTATGTGTCGTGGTTTCACTGCATCTAAAACTGTTAAGGCCCAAGTAACATCCAGCCATTCAATCCAAGACATTTCAAATGGGCTTACATATTCTGCAAATTTCTAATCACAAAAATAATAAAAAAAATTATATATATTTGTATCAAAGAAAATAAAATTTTTTTACGTCCGAAGAGAAACTTCAAATACTTAAAATAGAAACATTATGAAATTCTCTCAATATACCTCGAGAAACGAGTTTGCTTTCTGGGATTTGTACTGTAGGGCCGCAAACGTTTGTAATATTGATGAATAATCCAGAAATTTATAATCTATTGATTTCATAAATAAGGTGTTACAGAATGCATCAAGTATATCCGTATTTTTGTAACGCAGAAATCCTAATGATGTTATTATGGATTTATTTAAAGCAGCGTTCTTGTTTTTTGGTATACACTTCAGTAAATCAGATGCGATTTTATCTAACAAGACCTATTCCATATGTTATATTTCACAAATCTGATAAATTCTGTTTTCATGTATATATTCATATAAATGTGATATGCATACCTTGTCTGGAAAATTAAGTATAACCATACTATACAACAAAGTCGCACATTGGTTCAAATTTAATGCTATATTATATTTGACAATATTGTACGACAACATCTTTAATAGTGGAGTATTTCTGTCTTTTTTTTCTCTCAACGATGTTATCACCTTCATCATATAAAAATACATGTGAATACATATATTCAATATACATTGTAGCTACTGTAATTATTGTATATATACAAATATAGATAATTGCAAATATTGCAGGCATAGATTCTCATATAAAAATATACTTTTATATATGTTATCAACTTTTATACATGTTAAAATTTTACAAATACTCATACTCACAGTAATCATTGCAGATGTGGATAACTGAGAGTATTTAGAAAAATCATTTGTTTTATGAATTTTCATTTCACTACTCTCATCACTCTTAACTAACTTCCTGAGGTGAATAAATCGTTCATCAATCTCAATGTCTGAGATCTGTAATTTCCCACTATTTATCTGATTAGTTATGATCGATATTAGCTTCAGAGCATTATTTATAGACAGGTTTGGTAATACTGCCAAGTCCAACAAATCGTTTACAGACTTGGCAGCTTGAAATTGCTTGAAAAATACTGTGTTGTTGTCATTCAATTGTTTCTTCCTACTGTTTCTTTCTTCTGTCATATGAAATGTTGTCTGGAAACTCATATCCTTAGGTTGCTGCTCCTTTTCTTTCTGCATGGCTTGTATTTTTGAAAAATTAGCATTGTTATCTTCCTAAACAAAAAGCCATATACAGTCTTTCTTTCCAAAAAAATTGTGAATGAAACATGAAGATTGTTATCAAATTGAGTTTATCAAAGAAAAATTATTAGATCTATTAATTGTATTTTACAGTCACAGATGCAGCGGATTGCTCGCCGGTGACTGTCGTACTGGAGTTACAGGCCACAAGAGCAGTGAAACGCCAGGATGAGCGAGGTGCGATCCTGGCAGTCGCAGTGTACAGCATCGCGCTGAACTGCAGCATTGTCATTAATCTGTAAAATGGTTATTTATGTAATTGTCGTGATCGGGGACAATCCGCAATGATGATTCAGGCTCGTCGATTCATGACAATCATGACATTCGCACGAAAGTACAATTGCTCTGTATGACTTACGTTGCAAACGGGTGCAGGAATAAGTAGCGTTATCGCGAGAATAAACAATTATCGCGAATGATCTCGGGTACAGCAAGGCCACCAGGTATGCATATTTAGGTTAGGAAATCACCATGCAGCTGGTCATAGATGCAGAGAAGTTTAGATGCGTGGTTGCGAGTTAAAATCTCACCAGACACTACTATCATCTTTTAGTGGAATCTCTCGATCTTTTCAGTTCATCAAAAATGTAAAAGAATATCAATTTAAATCGCTGAATAATAATACAATTTTGTATGATTTTACAATTCGAAAGCGTATACTAATATTTAAAGAAAATTAATTTAAGGAAAAATTAATGAATTAATAAATTAAGAAGGCTAAATAAGATCTAAAAAAGTATCACTCAGATATTCTATAAATTTTTTTTTCTTTATTATATCTCTTTATGTAGATATTATTTATCTGCGAAGAAGCTTAATAATTAAGAATTTTTATAAAGTTTATTTCCACTATAATATTTTTTATATTTGCAAAATAAAATAAATTATTATAGTATTATACGCTATTTTATTTATCAGTATTCATCATTATTTTATCATTATTTATTATATTGTTCCATTAAATATATAATTATATTATTTCATATCAATATAAATATTTTCCAATAATTTCAATAATAACGAAATTAAGTTTAATAATAATATAACACTTTTTTTTAAAACAAAGTGAGTAAGAGAAAGATTATATAAAACATATAAGCAAATACCTATACAATTGATTGTTTTTTTACAGTAGAATTTTTTGTAATTTTTATCTTCCTCTCTTTCTAATATCTGATTTTATTATATAATAATTAAAAAATAATAATTAAGAAGTAAATATATTTTACATTATTATTATTTGTTTTTATTATTTGTTTATTATTTACACATCATTATCGCGTCATTTACTCTCAGTTTTTTAAATACTTTTTATAGATCTAATAATATATTTTATTGATATAATTATACAAAAGAGATATATATAATAATATATTTTTTATTTTATTTTAAGTACCAAATGTATAATGTAACGTAATTAAAAAAAAACAGATTTAAGAAATGTCAGAATCGAGGGGAAGGCTCGCTGTCGTTAAATCACTGCATTATATTGAGTAAACATTACGTAAGTATTAACTTGAAGTTATTTAATATATACAGTACAAATTATAGAACAGCCTAGACTCCAAAGTATTCTGTAACAAAGTACTCTTTTTGAATGGCTCGGCAGGGGTGAATGTTCTTGCTTAGAACGCTTCGGTCCGAAGGTCATCATAGTACAATCAGTAGAGACACTCAGCGAAAAAATGCATGTTCGCGCAGGTACGCAGCTTTTGTTTTGGGCTGGATCCAATGAAATGCAAAATGACAAAAACGTACATATTATACAGATCCCGTGTGAGCAGACATCCGTGGCAAAAAAGATAATTTAAGAGTTACGCCGTAAATATTTCTAAAAAATGGATAAAAAAAGGAAAATTATGTTACGTGCAGTATTAAACAATGCAATAATAATAGTAAAAATTCACAATGTTTTTTATCTCAAATTTTTTATCTCAAAGATATCGTAAGGTAAATTTTTATAATTTACAAAAAAGTAAGTAGTTTATGCTACGTTAAACATAATCAAATGTAATTTTGTAAAAAAAGATAATATTTTTACATTGACTACGTTTACACGACATCCTTAATTATGTTTTTTAGAGCAAAACAATGGACTCGCATTATATCTTCTTTTAGTTCTGGATTTTTCAAACGTTAACATGGCGGATGCTCATGTGACTGTGACACAGAGATTAAAGGTGCCGACACTGAGTGTCCTTACTGGTTATACTGGTCTCTGTGGTTTCATTATCTTCAATTTTTCAAAGTTCCTGTTATATTTAATTTTTGTTTGTGAATTACGATTAATTACAATTGGTTACGTCAATCTCAGTGCAGGAACTAAGATCAATCGAAAGAAGGAGATAGCGCAACAGCAGGTGCCAGTTGTTATAAGTCGCGGAAATTGTGGCAAGTGTATCAGAAGCGCGAATCAACTGATTAATTATGCATTCCATGAAGACGCCGCGTATTCTTTCGATTCAGAGTCATGTAGTGTCAGGCTACGTCGGCAATAAGAGCGCTACTTTTCCGTTGCAGGTGAATCCTATAGAAGAATTTTACAACTGTCTTTTCATCAAATTCCCATCGATGATCCTTCTCCTTCAATTCATGAATTGTCGGTTGCAAATCCGCGAATCCCACGATCCCATATCTCATTATTTTTTCTTAATATAAATGATCGTAAAGACATGTTAAACATTGCAGATAAGATACAAATATTTTAGAGATAAAATGCTTTCATCAGAGATAAAAAAATTCCAGATGCAATGACGATGACAAATCTTATTATTATATTAGCATTTATATATTAATTTAGAAATTAATTTGGTATTTTTTTATGTTTTATGGTATTTTTTCTTTCCGATTTAAATATAATATATATGCTGATGCTTAATTTGTTTCCGCTAATCTACTGTCTAGACTAGTTTTTAAATTTTTAGAATAAGTAGAACAAATAATTTTATATACTTGCTGAAACACGAGTGAATTAATATTAATATATTAAGTATATAATTTATATAATAAGTTTATAATTTATATATTATTTATATATTAATATATTAATATATTATTTATATATTAATAATATGTATTAAGTTTAAAATTTATGTATTGATATTAAGAGAAAAATTTGTTTCTATTAGTTATTAGGCTTTGAGGTCGATGCAATTAATTCTGTACAGTTGTCCAATCATACTGGTTACAAAACATTTAAAGGCCAAGTACTCAATGATAAAGATTTAGGTAAAAACTTGGGAAATAAATGATGTAATATGCTCAATAATGAAATATATCTAATGTAATTACTGCTTTAGAGGACCTAGTTGACGGTTTAGCGCAAAATGGCTTAGACAATTATACACACTTGTTAACTGGATATATTGGTTCTGCCTCCTTTTTGAAAAGAGTGGCATTACTAGTCACAACTTTGAAAGCCAAAAATCCAAATCTTACATATGGTACATTATCTTTTAACAATAATTTTTATGTCAAATTATGATCAAATTTTTTTTCATGAATTATATTTATTATACGTTTTCTATATTAGTTTGTGATCCTGTTATGGGTGACAATGGCAAGATGTATGTCCCAGAACCACTGAAAAACATTTACAAAGAGGAGATAATACCATTAGCGGATATAGTAACTCCAAACCAATTTGAATTAGAGTATGTGTGATACTTAATATACAAAGTGGTATTAATTTCCATTTATATACATTGATGATTGATCATTATTACAATTGCATAAATTGCTAATAACTTTTAAAAATTAATGTATTTTCTCTTGATGATCACTTATGTATTGCTTTTATTTATTTTTTCAGATTACTTACAAATGAAAAAATCACTAATATGAGTGAATTGCAAAATGCTATTAAAAAATTACATCGTAATGGACCAAAAACTGTAGCTATATCATCAACTGATCTTAGCGAGAAACTGACGGCAGTAGTGAGCGCAGCGAAAGGTTGATGCACTACAAGATAAAACGAACTTTGAATTGATTATAGATTTGCATTATCTTTCTTTATTTCAGATAATACATTAATAAAAGTAGATATTCCTAAAATACCAGCAACTTTCACGGGTTCTGGAGACCTCTTTACCGCGTTATTTCTTGCCCACGTATACTTACAAAATGACATGAAAGTCATCATGGAAAAAACTATTAATTCTCTGTATAGCGTGCTGCTTAATACGTATGAATATTCTAAAGGTGAATAATATTTCTACAATAGGAAAAAAATACTTCAGTATCATTCCTAACAAACAATTATTTGCAGCGTATATAGATACCGAAGCACAATCAGCCAGGAAAATCGAATTACGACTTATACAAAGTAAAAACAGTATTGAAAATCCAAAAATTCATCTACTTGCGGAATTCTTATAACATTTAAAGTTATAGAGAATAATTAAAAGAAATGCTTAAAATGTTATTTATAAGTAGTGTTTATAAAATTTTTGATATATTACATATAGTTTATGGAAAGATTTATCTCAATAATTGAACACATGTTAAGGTGCGTATTAATAATTAAACATTTATTAAGATATATATATGTATATATAAAAAAATATATATATATACATACATATATATATATATAGATATATAGATATATAGAGTATAAGAGTGGCCAATTTATAGTTTATGGAATTTGAGTTCGAGCTCAATCCACGTATTCGATTTGTAAAAAGTTAATTGAAAAGTTGAAAGTAGTGAATGATTTTATTGTGAATGTAACCCGTGTTAAGAATCTATTTATCAACTATTTATAATATATGTAACAAAACATTTGTTGAGCATTTACAATAACACGCGGAGATATATTCTTCAATAATCAAACCTCAAAGACCAATGTATATCTTCCAAAATATATACAATTTATTTATGTATATAATTCGCAATAGGTTCTTATATGACAGATAACAGATATAATTTTTATTTTAGAAAGATTTAAATAAATCTAAAATTGTGAAAACTTTGTGTCCATGTGTGTATTGAACCAAATCCAAACTGTTCTTGTATTTTATTGAATTCCTTTTAAAATTACTAAAACGTGATCTTTATTTATGTTCTTATTACATTTATATTTCTTTATAACATACAATCAATCACAATAATCCTTTAAAGATAAACGAGGTACTACATTCATGGACTGCAGTTCTTGAAACAATAATTTGCAAGCATAAGGCATCGTTATCGTAGAAACGGAAGAGCTGGATTTACACCTCTGGCACCAACCGTTGTATCCTATCAGACCGCATTTATTACAAACATCAACTTTAAAAGCATCACTCGATATCATGAGCCTCTCTACTAATAACATGCTAGCTCCGTAACCGATCAGACAGTCTCGCTCCATTTCACCTAATCGCAAACCACCTTCCCTAGAACGTCCTTCTGTCGGTTGACGTGTGAGGACTACTCTTGGACCTCTGGCTCGAGCATGCATCTTGTCTTGCACCATATGTTTCAATTTTTGATAATAAACCTACAAACCACATTTTTAACGTTACACAAGAAATATCAAATATGTTCTATTTATCTGCGTTAGAAATAAAAATTTTAAATATATATATATATGTTCTATTACTATTTTAATTAAGATGGATAGAATTCTTACAAAAACATGCTTTCTAACAATGTATTTACTAGTCATACAAAAAAAATTAAATTATATATTTATTTATTTTCTTTTTAAAAATAAATTTCTTATCTAAAATCAATTTAAATGACAATCTATTTATCCACGAGAAAAACTTACTGATCCAGAGTAGATATATCCTATTAGTGGTTTCCCAGTCATGCCATTGTAGAAGAAATCTTTACCTAAATAATTATAACCATTTTTCGCTAATTCTTCGCAGATATCTTCCACTTTGGCGCCACCGAATGCTATCAAATGAAAATAATAATATTAAACATAGCATTAAACATTAAATATATTAGTCATTTTTTTTTTAAATATACCTGTTGCATCATGAAATTTTCCATTTACGATGCCAGCTTTGCCTGCAAGTAGCTCTATTAGCTTACCAACAGTCATTCTAGAAGGAAAGCCATGCGGGTTCATAATTATATCGGGACATATTCCATGATCATTGAATGGCATATCTTCTTGGTCTACAATTAAACCTAAATGGACATTATCGGAGATTAGTACATTTCTCTTGCATATAATACGAAATATCGTGCGCGTGCAAAATAATTATACCTATAACTCCCTTCTGTCCATGGCGACTACTGAACTTATCACCGATTTCTGGTCTTCGAGTTTGTCTTAGTAACAGTTTTGTTAAAAAGCAATCATCTGCATTGCTAGTTACTATAACTTTTTCCACATATGCTGGAACCATGCCTTTGAACGGGATTTCTGCGTTCCGATATTCCACTGCTTGTGTTTGTACAGTGCCAGAACTCACTGGACCAATATTCTCACTCGGCGTTGGAACCGACTTGTTTACCATTACCTATATGTATAATATAATATAATATTAAGTACAATATAATGGAATATCTAATATTGTTCAAACAGACAATACTTACGGTTTTGTTTTCTACCATCTCACCGGGTAAAACAATTCCATCGACATCAAGTACTTCATGCTTCGTTATAGGTTTCTTAGTATTACCATCTAGCATTGGTCCCATGATTGTATCTTGCGTTCGATTGGCATATTTTTTCAATACACATTTTGCATTTCGATATACTAGGCATCTTCCATATCCTCTATCAATGGAAGCTTTATTGAAGATCAATGCATCTTCAATATCATATCCACTGTACGACATTACAACGACAATCGCATTTTCACCGGCTGGCAATTTGTCGTAATTAATTAACTCGATTGCTCGAGTTTTCACTATAGGTGTTTGCGGATATACCAAATTGTACATTACTGTGTCGATGCGATTACGTTGATTGTATCCTATGATCCCCATGGCCTGTTTACCCATAGCGCATTGATAAGTATTTCTCGGGCTCTGATTGTGATGCGGGTATGGTATCAATCCTGCGCATACTCCCAGTATAGTGAATTCCGCGATTTCCAGATGTGTTGTGTTCTCATTGATTTCCGATTCCGTACATGCGATTAAACTGTCATTCTCTTCATTCACATCTAAATATTCTATCAATCCTAACGTAATGAATAACAGAATAATTATGTAGCTGCAAAAGAATATATCTATGTAAATGCAACAAAATTAGTTTGAATTATTACCATCATAAAGGAAGTCTTCAAATGATGTGATACTTCTTTCAAGATTCTCTATGTGCTTTGGTTTAACAAGAGATTTTGCATTCTTAACGATGATTAATGGTCTGCACAATCGCCCGCCGTCAGAACTGACTTGAATGCATTTATGCCGATGTTGCGTATATATTGATACGAAACTGTTAATATATCTCCTCCTGCGCAACAATCTGAACTGATGTACCAGTCTCTTATGATTCTGCACGATGCCCACCATGATACCGTTCACAAAAACGGAATATATATCTTCGCTAGTTAGTTCTTCTCCAGCAAGAGTATAAATATTCTCCACGCCAAGATTAAGCACCAGTTTTATTATTGATTCTTCTGGTACTTCCGTAGTGATATGAGCCATCAAAGCCAGATTCTTCACTAAACCACAAGCTTCTCCTTCCGGTGTATCGTTCGGGCACAACATGCCCCATTGCGAGCCCTGTAATGATCGTGGACCAGAGACTTTCCTGGTCTTCTCGAACTGAGAATGGACTCGCGTCATCATGCCAAGTGCCGAAATGTAGGACAATCGTGATAGCACCTGTGTCACACCATGCCTCTCCATTCTAAATCTCTTGATTGTCCAATTACCCGATGATATAGCAAAAGCCAGCCCATTGGTAATGAGATCGTGTCTCATGTGATTAACAATATCAAATGGTGCTGCTCTAATCTTGGGAATATTTTTATTGGCAATTTTCTTGAGTTCCCAGTTAAATCTTTTAAACAAATCTTCGAACATTAGAGCGAGAAGAGAGCCAGCTAGTTCTAGACGTTTATTACCATAATAATCTTTATCATCAATCAGACTATGATCAGATTGCGCATTTATAACTCTTCTGATCATTAAGGCAAGGTACAATGCCTTCGGTCTGAAATTGAAGTCGACAACAGGTACATGAGATAATATATTCGTTGCTAATACATCTTTCATCTCATCAGTGACATGAGATTTTGGTACATGGAATCTCATTTGTTTTCGTTTGTTATTGAGGTATTTTAATGCTTGATTTTGTGAAAAGATGCCCAGTTCTTGGCAATCTTCTAAACTAGCTGCAAATTTGTTCAAATATGTTTCTTGTGTTCCGACCATTTGCATGATCTCTAAATCACTTACGATACCCATAGCTTTGAAAATGATAGTGATCAGTATGTCGTCTTGAAACATATTGTGCCTTATGTAATATTTTCCAGCTTTGCCCACAACATTAGTTTTAGTCTTTTTGTCGTGAGTAAAACTGTTGCACGCCGCAACAACACAGTTTTTACTATCTTCTTCTAAAATAATTCTATTCCTAACCATTTGTTCTTGTATTAATATAACTTTTTCTTGGCCATTTATGATGAAATAACCACCAGGATCATGTGGACATTCGTTCATTTTGGCTAACTCGGATTCAGACTTTTTAGTTAACACACAATTAGAACTGCGCAACATTATTGGCATCCTGTAAACATTTACAATTATATAATATTATTGTATCTTAATACTTTACATATCTATTACTATATATTTTATATTTATTGTTCTTACTTTCCAATAACCATATTATGTCTTATTATCCGCTGATTATTTCTTATATATTCAACATCTACTAAAATTGAGGCAGAATAATTTAAATCTCTTAAGCGGCATTCGTGTGGTGTAGTTGGTATAGTCCTAATAGAGTTGGATGATTCCTGAACTTCAGGTAAGCCTACTTTTATATTTAAGTATCTGGAATATGAAAAAAAATCTGTTAAGAATCTGTGATGTTTCTACAATTGCAATTTTCGAAAGTACATGATACTGCTCTTACTTTAAATAAAAATGTGAATCTTCGTCGCTTTGAACCTTTTCATTTGCTTTAACAATGTTTTTGATCTCTTCATTAATGAAATAGTTGTAAGAATCTATATGTTGATTTACTAAACCTTTGTTCCGAAGAAATGCATCTACTAATTTCCATTTATCCTGATAATATGTAAAATTAAGAATAATTTAATAATTAGTAATAGTTATTTGCAAATCTATCTAACATGTGAAGATGAAGTTAAAGAATTATAATTTTAAGTACACTGTAGATATACAGTACATGCATTTGCACCATCAATGATCTTTTTATAATTTATGCATTTTATATGATGCATAAAAAACAAATTCATTCAACAATTATTTAAAAAAAGAAAGAGATAAGAAAATAACATCATTTCCATTCAAATTTTATTTTTCAGAATGTGTAATATATATATATATATATACACACAACACACACACGAGTTGAAAAATGAGCGTCACACATTTACATACCTCCATTCTTTCATTCGTCTTGTTCTTCACGAATATGAAAATTATATTACATAAAATTGATACTTTTCACCTATACTAAAAAAAGCCGGCCATGTGCTTAGCAAACTCATCGACTATGCTACAAACTCATAATGTAAAAGTGCATTCACATCAAAGCGTCAAGCATCAAACATCAAGCAGTAACCGATCAGTTGGGCGATACGGACAGTGATATAAAAATATTTTTTACATCACTGTAAAAATCGCCTCGTTGATTGGTTGCTTGACACTTGCATGTGAATGCACCTTAAGAATATAAATAATAATCATGATAACAATCTTCACCGGCTATTGGCTAACACAAGATCTGTTCACGTTGCTTAGGAACTCCGCACAATAAAAGGTAGTCAAAGTCTCGTTACAAATGCTTTGAAGCATTTGACAATTAGAAGCATGGACAATTAGAAGAAAGAATTTTACAAACTGACCATTAAAAGATGCTTCAAAACATTTGCAGCATCGCGTTGATCGTATTCTTAAGGAACAGGGAACAGAGACAGAGAATAAGAATTTGAACCTATCAGAAATCATATTGTGGAATACACAGTTTTTGATTGGTTGATTTTTGAAAGGTTAAAATTCTTATTCTCTGTTTTTTTCTGTTCCCCATTCCTTTTGATTTCTTTTTTATTGTATGGAGCTTCTTACATTGGACTAGTTTCCACCAAGGGTTTAAATCGGATCAGAATGTAAGAACCAACTAGTCGAGTATTTTCCTGTTACAGTCGAACAACAGGGAGTTGGTTGGTTTTTACATTCTGATCCAGTTTAAACTCTCAGTGGAAACTAGACCAATGATGTTATACTACAATAACATGAGCGTTATCACAAACTTAATTAATTTATTGGTTATTTATGCCTTGGTTATTTATGTCCCCTTCTTTAACACTTATCTCCAGCACATTACACGTATAGCGTTTTCATATCATTCAGTGCGAACTCAGAATTTCAGAATTCTTAAGTCTATCCTACGACGAGTGTCTCTTATCAATTTTTTTATTATCGATTAAGATCATTTAATTATAATAACACATGTATAATAACACGTTTATAAATACTTTTTATTAATTCTCTTACAAATAATATAAAATTTTCGCGTGTGTTCACAAGTGTTTCCCCTTCAGCAACGAGTAAAGTATTTCTAAATCACTATTGCTCGAAAATATTTCTAATATCGATCAACGAGAGATATAATGTTTTTGTCGCGATATTTCATTGTTTCGCGGCACCTTGCGAATCACGCCGGTAAAATTGGCGTATGTCACGTATCGAATTATTGCAAAATTGACGAAAGTGTCTTTGGGTTGAACGACGAACAGAAAGAGGTTAGCAATTAGATCGATCATAGGCCCTGCGCATAATAGAGGAAATATTAGGAATAAGAATATTAAAATTTCAACCTTCAAAAGATTTTAATAAGTTGAAATACTTAATATTTATTCCTGATATCTATTCCCTATTCTAAAATGTTTTGCATTATGCGCTATGAAGTAAGAATAAGAATCCATACAGCACAGAAGATTCAAGCAATATTGCTGCAATGTTATAATATTGTAGATTGCAATGTAACATTGCAGAGATATAAATTAACAATATGTCTGCAAAATGTCAGTAATATGCCTGTAATATTCCAGAAACGTTGCAAAACTATAATTCTTTAATTGTTACAATAATAACATAAAAATATAATTTTTTCTAATTATGTAGTAGTCTTTTAGTTTAACAGCCATTTTTATAATAGAATAATTAATATAATCCATTTTTATATTTAAATAAAAAATTTATTAATCTATTATTTGATGGCCATTTCATTAGCTAAGTTTTATATTTATTTTAAATATGAAATTAAAAGATTTTGTATAATATCGAATTTAGATACAATTAATGCATTAGATAAAATGATAAGCAATTAAGTTGCTAAACGATTTATCGAAATATTAATTTTGTGATTGATAATGTTTGTATGTTTGATGTGAACGTAAAAATAAACCAGCGCCCGAACTTTATTGATAAATTTCATACCGTCATTTTTTAATCAATTTCAATTGATTCGGAATGGCTTCAAATTAAAAAGAATCACCGCGATTAACTTAATCCATGATTAACTTACCAAGCGACTGTATTATTACGTTAATATTAATGTGGATAATGTTTGTATATTTGTTCGAGGCACATACATACATGTTTTATCCTTACGAATAAATTTATTCTTTAAAATTAATAGTACATTTATTGGAATATTTTATGGTTTTATCATAAAAAAAAATTGCTTTATAGAAAGCACATATCACTAGAAATACAATTTGTAAAAAAATTAAAGTTAGTGAGATATATATAGAAAATAGTTTTCATTTTAGAATCTTCGTAAGAAATTTCCAAATACATTACATTGCAGTATTGCGGAACGTTTCGTTGCAATATAACAAAAAATGGATATCTTAACTCTTATTGGAATCTTGCAGCAATGATTTGCAACCACCATGCAATATTACAATGTTTCAGTAAAATTATTCTGTAATGTTTCTGCAATCTTTCTGTACTGTATGAAAAATTAATCGATCACGGTCAATTATTTTTTTCACATTTGACTGCGATTGATCGATTTCTTGCTTTTACTTCTTATATAAGATGTTTTTATATGGCAGCGTCAGAGCATAATATATGTTTAATAATGTTTAATAATTTTACTGAAATTGAATTTAATGTACGAGATACACTATAATAATGGAATCTTGTAGTTTACACTATTATAATGTATCTCGTACATTAAATTCAATTCATATAATGTAAATAAATATAAATTTTCAGCATTATATGTTAGGATAATAGTATATCAAAACATAATCTTTCATAATTTACTATTTTGCATCAAGAAGCTGTACAGAAAATTATTGCGCAAGACTCTGGAAATTCAAACTTCTGCGCAATAATCTTCTGCGCAGATGCTCGATACTCGACGTTTGCTTATTCTGCAATATTAGTCTTGTTCTTTTTAACTGAACTTTTGCACCAATTAATTTTTCTTCCTTTTTTTTCTTCCTAGAGAGAAAAGGAAGGAAGACAAACTGATGCAAAAACAGATCTATGTAAACAAATATGCATTGAATGTATCCGTCATTACGTATTGTGCATTGTTGTGCAATCGCAACGGAAATTTAGTTAAAACAAATTTGCATAATGAATATGTATAAATGTTTGTATAAGTTATTGTTTGCATTACACGCAGTTGTATTATCTTATAAGC